TCTGGACAATTCTCACACTATTTTACACGTTTTCATAATATTATTGCACAGTTAATAGACCACGCATTCACTGCCATCGAGTCAATGCTGACTCAGTGTGACGCCCTGTGGGTTTCTGAGACTACCTGTTTACGGGAGTAGGGAGCACAGTCTTCCTTGGAGCTGCTGATGGTTTTGAACTGCCGATCATGCAGATCACAGCCCAACACACAACTACTATGCCATGGGGGCTCTCAGTATACTGTAACTAGAATTTTTATACACACACCAAACTCACCCCAATCCAGTCAATTCTGACTCCTGGCAACCCTATGGACAGGATAGAACTAACTGCCTTGTGGGTTTCTGAGAGTGCCACTCTCTCGGGAGTAGAACGCGCCATCTTTCCTCGAAGGAGCAGCTGGTGGTTTGGCGGTCCAATAGGTCACCACGATGGCACCAGGGGTCCTAGGAAGCAAAAAAACTCACCTGAATCTATTGAGATATTTGTCTTATTATGATAGTCTGAAATCAAATCCACAGCATTTTCAAGGTATATCTGTATATGTGTACATACACACACACACACACACACACACACGTGTGAGTGCTGCTTCGTTGTTTTTTTTTAATTAGAAAATCCTCATTGTGACAAGCAATGTGAAAATGTATAAATAAAAATTTAATGAACTCTCACTTTCTCATGCAAATACAAATTCCCATGTCAATTCAACTTTTCCCTCTGTCTACATCAAGAAAATGATAACGATCATTAAAGATTATTATATTATACCTTTTTTCTATGTGACATATATATGTATATAGATATAGATAGACACCCCCCCGAAAAAACTCTGCTGGGTTGAGCTTCGTACTAAGCCTTTTTCCTGCCAGGTGAGCATCATCGAGCAACCAGTTCCGAGTTAATGCACCCAGTGGTGCCGCCTGGGAAGGTTCTCTCTGGTCACCATGAATATTTTCATGAAAGCAGTTTCACTCCAACCTTGTTTTTTGTGATGGCCGATTTAAGATAACAGCGTGTGGCTGTGAAATTTTGTTTCCTGCCCAGGGTTGGGGTGAGGGTGTGAGGTGGGGGTGGGGGGGCGGGATGCCAAAGAAACTGTTGTGATGTTGAACACAGTTTACAAGGATAGCACTATGGGAACAACTCACGTCTATGAACGGTTTTCTCTTTCAGAAAAGGTCAAATGTTGATGACAAACCTCGTTCTGGACGTCCATCAACTTCCTGAATGGATGAAAATGTCAACAAAATTTGTTTACTTGTGCTTGAAAATTGACAAAGGACTGGGGAAGAGATGGGAAAGTTATCTGGACTATCTTGGAGCTCAGTTCAGAATTTTAATGGAAGATTTGGGAATGAGAAGGGTCGCTGCAAAATTTGAGCCTCAGGTTCTGACGGACCAGCAAAAAGAGCTTCAAGTGGAAACATGTCATGCTTTGAAAGAACAGGTGTGAAGGGACCCAGACTTTTTCCCCAAGGTCATTACTGATGATGAGACATGGTGCTATTCTTAGGATCCCAAAAGTGAACTTCAAACAAGTCAGTGGAAGACACCATTGTCACATCACCCCCTAAAAGCTCATAACATGAATTCAAAGATCAAGACAATGCTCGCTTGTTTGTTTGTTTTTTTCTGTGAGGGGGAGAGTGCATTTGGAGTTTGTTCCACCAGGTCAGACTGTTCATCAAACTGTCTATTTAGAGGTTCTGAAAAGATTGTGTAACCGTGTGCAACAAAAAAGGCCTGGTTTGTGGCAGACAGGGGAGTGGTGTTGCCACCACAACAACGCACCTGCTCATGCAGCCATCTCAGTGTGCAGCCATCACCAGTTTTTGACAAAACACAGCAGGCCTCGCTCACTTGACTTGACTCCTCCGTGTGACTTCGTTTCTGTGAATGAAGACGGAGATGAAAGGACAGGGCTTTGAAGATGTAGAAAAGGTGAAGAAAAACAAGGAAGGTGCTGTCAGCCATTCAAACAGATGAGTTTGAAAAATGTTTCCAAGAATGCAATCGCAGATTTGACAAATGTATTAAGTGTAATGGAGAGTACTTTGAAGATGATAGGTTGTTTGGGAAAAAATGTAAATACATAACATTGAAAAAAATTCTCTCTTTGGGGGGGTACCCCCTCGTATATGCCTTGTGGAGGAGAGAGGGGCACACATGGAGGAGGATGCTGGGTAAAAAGCAGGAAAGAAAGAGGAAGGGGGAAGATGACAAAAAGTGTATCTTGGGTACTGAGAATGTCTGCACCAAGCTGCCATTTGGTCTTCTGTCCACACAGCCTCTGAAGCCAGTGAGGTGAGAGGTTTGGCCAGCTGGGTACCTCAGGGGCCAGGAAAATTCCGCTGGGCCAGGAGGGAGCATGGCATACAGAAGCGCTTGCACACTGGTTAATGGTCAAGGGGAGTCTGACAGCTGTCATTGCTGCTCTCCCAATTTAAGTCACATTGGTTGTGTTAGTCTGGGTTGACTAGAGACAAATTCATAGACACTCATATGTGTGTAACAGAAAACTTTATACCAGAGTAATTGTATATTAAGAAAACATCCCAGCCCCATCCAGATCAAGTCCTTAAGTCCGATATTAGCCCACTTGTCTGATACCAGTCTACAATTTCCTCTTCAGACTCACGCAGCACATGCAATGACTCCGAATACAGGAAGATCACAGGCCAGTGGGTGGAAGATCTTGTGAATGCAGTGGCAGTGGAAACATCTCAGTGCTGGCGGGAGTCTCCATGTGGCTCCTCCAGCTCCAGGGCTCTGGTTCCATCAGGTGTCTGTCTCCTTGTGGATTCTCAGCAGGAAGACAAGCAGATTGTCTGTGTGTATCTGGCCTCCAATGGGCTATTTATCTCTGTGGCGCCTCCATATGACGTCATCAAGCTT